TGTGTCCTAAAAGCTGTGTCACTGTTGGCAATGAAGCCCTGAGGAGAGGGAGGTTGACTGCAATGCCCGTTAATGTCCCAGGGTGTGAGACGGTCCAGGAGAGCAGAGCCTCGGTGAGGTCTCAAAGGGAGGCCCAGGAAGGGTGTGCTGCTTCTCGCTGGGTCTTCTGCCCTACGTGAGTGGCAGGCACACCATTTGCTCTCCTGACTTTTGCAGCTGGCTAACTGGTTAGACCACACACATGCACACTTACACCTCCGTAGAACCAACATCAATGCTCAATCTAAAGCCATAATGAGGAAGGGAATATTTTCCTAATACTGGCTCACACTTTTTAAGAAGCTTTGTTCTCCTCAGCAGGTCACAAGATTATAGAGAAGTGTTTGCTTCCTTTTATTCTTCTCCAAACCCTCTTCCTAATTCTACCCTTTTAGACTCCCAGGAACAAGGAAAAAGCCTAATGTAGGGTCACACACCTGTGATCATCCTCTTTCAGGAAGGAGGTAAGGTCAGAGCCTCCACTGTCCCATTCACCCTCTGTCAAAAGAGGCTGTATTTAGGAAAGAGACGCTGGAAAATATCAGGCCTACATGAGTTACCAAGTAAAATCCTGCTGTAGTAAAACACAGAAAAACAAGCAGCTACCTTACAACGTAAGTATTCATCTCTATTCTCCAGACTCTCTAACAGAAGCCAAGATATCTAGGGAGCATGAACATGAATAACACTTTTAATAAATGGACCAATATTCTTCCCAACCACATACATCTTTCTGCAAATGAAAACCAATTTAGGGGCTACTTGAAGTTCTGGACTAATAGATTTTTTCCCCCTTTATCCATATGACTTAAAACTGTGTTTCTCATATATATCATGTGGAATCAGCTAGAGAAGCTATAAAAATTACTGCTGCTGGACCACTCTATTCAGGAGGTCTGGGATGAATTCATCATCCCTGGGTAGCTTAAAGCAGGCAGTTGGTCCAGTCATAATGAACTGCAGGTACTCTCAGCAGACAAGCATTTTTATAGTTTAGCTGGTAGAACTATAAAAATTAGGTTCATTCCTAAATGGTTAATCTGCCCTCGCAGAATGCCATACTTTCAACAGAAAAAAATAAACAGGAGCTATTCTAAGAAGTAACCATATAATTAGGAGGTTATAACTACACAGTGGAAAGAAACACAATGAGAGAGAACAATGGACTTTGTGGATTAATAAGCAACATAACGCTGAGTTTTGTGCAGTTACAGACTGATAAAACAAGTACTCAGACTGGCTCACAAAAACACTTCCTGATTTCTGCAGCTGAAGAAAATCACTGGGTTTAAAATCAAATCTGAGATCTTGCTTATATTACTCAAAGGAGCATAACCAACCATTCAGCAGGTTGTATATGACGTGACGATTCTGATATTTTTTTTCTTTTCACTCCATTTACAATTCTCAGGAAGAACTTTAAAAATTAATAACTATAAATATTGCACAGGTGTATATGTCTATTATTCATTTATCAAATAAAATTGTATTGAGAACAAAGATACAAACATTGTTGAGGAGAGGTCGTGGGGTCGCATTGCCTACAATGTAATGGAGAAGATGAAGGAAAATAAATCAAGGTTAGGTGTCAAAATAGAGACAAGGTCTATGGTACAAGTGAAGTATTCAAGAGGAAGGCACCTTGTGGAGGCCAGAGGAGACTCAGCCTAAACTGAGTCTTGCAGACCATGTTTGCCAAGGGGTGAGCAAGGGGAAAGGACAGAGAGAACAACTAAAGGAACACAGAGGTGTGAATTCTCATGACAAGAAATTCAGATTGCTAGGACATGGGACATTAAGGGACTCTAGCTGGAGGCTAACCAGGAGGCAGAGACAAGGGCCAGTTCATGTTTGAAACTGAGATTTTATCCTGAAGGCACTATGAACTCATTTGAGGATTTTTAGGAGACATGTTGAAATATAAATTGCTTAAAAAGAAAATCTGAAGAGGCTTGGAGGATGGATTGGCAGGAATACAGAGAGAGGATCCTTCTGGAAGGGAAGATGGAGGTGGAGGGTCTGTATTCAGAGATGTCAAAGGGAAGGCTGGACAGTGCCAGTGACTAGCTAGATGACAGGGGAAAGGCGGGTGGGTGAATCTAGGATAACACACATATTTGCGATGTGCACAGCTGGGAAGGTGGAGGTACCAGTAAACAAGCTAGGCCATACAAGCAGAAGAGCAACTGCAGCTCCCGAGTTCTCTTTGGGACATATTGGGTTCAAGTTTCCTGAGTCATAGCACTGAAGATATTTGGTAGATTATATATAACAGTCTGAACTCAGGTAGATATCTAAAAGAAGTAATGGTTTGGGGCAAAGAAAATATTCAAAATATTAACAACTGGCATGGACAAATAGTCAGGCATAGATACTAACTAATCAGAACAGGTGTCTGATGGACCAGAAAGGACGCCAGCAATAAATAACTAGCATGACCATATGCGCACACAGCAACTGAACACAATTTTGGTACTGACAATCATCAGAGTGGATGAGAGCCTTCAGAGAGACAGGAAGGGAACAGGCTACAGGAGAGAACACCTACAAGGGGGGGTGATGCAAAGTAAAAGAACCTGCAGAAGGAAGATGAGAAGGAACTGTCCAAGAGGTTTTGATTTCTAATTTCCTATTTTTGCATATTTTAATCATGACGGAACACAGGGGACCAGAAAGCTTCAGATGGGGAGGAGTGGTAGTATGGACTATGGAAGAGATGTCAACACCCTTTCGCAGGCTAGGCTATTTTGGTTGCAGGTGTCTACTGGGACCTGGCTAGTTGAAGAGCAGTACCCAGAAGTACCAGCAACAATGCAGTCTGAAACTTTAGGGATGAGGATGACTCCAGCACAAGTTAGGAGCCTAGGGCGAAGTCCTTAAGTAAACTTACTCTTCCCAGAGATGACCTTCCACTAATGCAGGTGTCTCCAGCCATGCTTAAGCTGGACAGGGCTGCATGGGGCCGGGGCTTGGGGGGGGGGCGCTGAAATGGAACCAACCCTCACTGATGGTATTTCCCACTGTCACACCAAACCTCACTGGGCAGCTGTCCCACCTGCCCGTCTTCCTCCTCCCCAGGTAAAACAGACAGCCACCCCACTCACTGCCCCGGCTCAATGCAAGGCTCTCTGAGTTCTTGAGTTTATCTCAAGCTTATAAAATCTCTTCCATGTAAGTTTTTTCCATTTCAGCCTTCTCTTCTGTAACAGAGGATTAAAAGCAAGTTTTGCACATCTGCGTCAAGTGTATCAAAGATAGTATGAGAACATTCTGCGAGTTCTCTGAGATTTTGAAAGGGAGTCAAAAGGCGAGTCTAAGTGAATGCAGAATAGCGTGAATAAAATGAAAGGAATAGAATATTGCAGAATTATTTGAGTGAGGACAAAGATTTAATCTTTAATAAAACAGGTTAAATTTTAGTGTTCGAGTGCACTAAAGAATGCTTATTAAATACTTGGGAAAAAAAATGAAAGGCGGCTTAGTTTTCCTGAAAGAAAACCAGACCGAAAAAGTTCTTAGAGCTACAATGTGTTGCTATTTGAGATGTCACAAAAAGTGAGGTTAAAATATGATTTCTAAATTCAGCCTTTTAGGGAAAAATCATGCTTTGATTCACTTGTAAACCGAATTCCACGCACCCACCACCCCAACATGGGTCTCGGCAGAGGGACCTCTCCATTCCCGCGACCAGGCCATCGCGCCTCCCCAGGGCCCTGCTTCCTCTGGCCTCCTGGCCTTCCATGTGGCGATGAGCGAGGGCAGTTACAACAACCTTGGGCAACCCGATCAGCCACGTGCGGCAGCCTGGCACTGCCCAGAGCATGCTCAGTCAGGTCCTGACCCACTTCTACAGCTCCGAACTCGGGGCAGGGGGTCGGCGGCGCTATTTTGCCCCGTTTGTCAGGGATCGAAAGAAGGACGAGAGAAACCGGGAGCTGCTAAAAGCCTCCTCTCTAGGTGACAGCAGTCCCTAACCCGGCGGCGGAACACGACCAGTCTGGCTGCAGAAGCCACAAGCGTCAGTATGCTGAGTCCACCTAACCGGGTTTTGGCAGCAACCGCAGAAGAAGGAGGTACTGGACTAAAAGGACCGCTGGGGGCGTGGCCGAGGGGCGGGCCTAGAAGAGCCAAGGAAAACTAGCCTGATCCTGGCCCCTGAAATTAACTGCCCGTGGCAAATCTAAAAAAACAAAAAACAGAAAACAAAAAAACGGAAGGGCGGGGGTGGACGCCTACGGAGCTAGATGTTGCTGCCAGACCTTTGCGGGCGTTTCAGACTAACCCATCTTTCTTATTTAAAAAGCGCCATATTGTAATTAGAACAAAACTTAGAAACTACAAATAATCAAAAAATAAGAAAATTTAAAATCCCTGGAACCACACCACTCAGAAGCCACCAGTGAACATTCGGCTCGTTTTCTTCCAGCCTCTTCTGTGGGATTTAGAACTGACAGCGGAGTCAACCGGGAGGACCTGTGAAGCTTTCGATCACAAGGGGGCTTGACACGTGGCCCTGGGGACAGGGTAGGTTCAGGGGTTGTGTGGTTGGTTCTCTCCTGTTCAAAGATGGGATTCTAAGAAACCTGTTCCTGGGTGCGACGCGAAGCTCAGAAAAGTTGCGGTGGAAGCCTTGGTTGTGAACTTCCTCTCAATCATCAGTCACGCTGCTCCAGCACTACAGCATCAGAAATAAGTGCCCTCCGCTAGGGTAGCAACTTCGGCTTGCCGCACCGGAGCCCGGGGAGGGGGTGGAGGGGGCACCAAGCCCCGCCCCAGAGACTGCGTGGAGTGAATGAGGAGCCGTGTGGCACGCTTACACCGCCTCCTCCGCTGCGGGAGGCTCCGCGGCTCCCAAAGGTTCGTGCTGCACCGCCTCCTGCCCTTGGCCGCTGCGAAAACCCGGCAGGGATACCGTGCCCAGTTCCGCGCCTCCGCACCGCGGGGCGAGCCGCACTGGGCATGCTCAGCACCAGCCGGCTCCGGCTCCAGTAGGTGGGCAGCGCCGCACTCTCGGCGGCCCGCCCGCGGCGCAGCCGGCTTCGCTGCGGGGGCTGGCGGAGGCGGCTCATCCGCAGTAGGTGCTGCCGGGCGTCAGAGGCAGAGCGCGGCGCAGCGGCAGCACTCAGGCTGGCCATGGCGAGGAGCGCACGGCGGCCACCTGAGTGGCGCGGCGGCGTAAGGTTAGCTGGGACGCCCGGCAAGCCGGGGCGGCGGGGTGCGGATAGCAGGGACCACCGCATCGGGAGGGTGGGTCGAGTCGCGGCTGCGGCTGTCTCCGCGTAACTTTATCGGGCGCTCAGGCTGGCGGAGCCGCGAAACAGCCTGCGCTCTTGGGTGGCGGCGAGATCCCGGCAGCGGGCTCCTAGGGGTTGCAGGGTGTTTCAAGATCAGTGCGGGGTGGGACCCGGTGGAGGCAGATGGACGGGGGACAGCAGGCTTACATACCATAAGCCTCTTACGGCGTGGAACGCGGTGTCTACCGCGCGCTGCCGAAAAGCCTCACCGATCTCCCGAGGGAAAGGGCGCAAAGGCGCGGCGGGGGCTTTCGCCTGACTCCAGGTCGCCTGGGTCACTCTGCCTTAGTTTCCCCGAAATAGAAGGTAGGGTTTACTCTCCTGCCCCGGAAGGCCCTGAGTTCGGGCTACGGGTCCGTATCCGGGAGAGTGCGCTGTCTTGATGCTGCAGGAGTGCGGGAAGCTTTGAGTGCCTCGAGCCGCCACCTCGCGACTGGAGCACTCAGAGTTTGTCGCATTTGACTCCATAGCAAGTTGACATCGAATTGCTTCTTGGCTTGGAAAGGGAAACGTGCTTTCTTGGCTTAAAAAAAAAAAAAAAAGAAAAGAAAAAAGAAAAAAAAAAAAGTAACTGCAGAGCTGATTTATTTTACGCTCGACCATTAACCTGCCTTCCCCTCCAAAAAACTGGAGCAAGCAAATTGCAAGATTTATAAAGCAAGCTAGCAAAAAAAGGTTTGCAGGTCTAGTAGCTGCTCCCACTGTAGAAAATATTCTATTATGGTTGGATTGCCATTTTAAGGATACTTGTTACAGAAAAATTTGGTTACTGTAGCAACATTTATTTTGTGTTATCTTGGCTTTATATTAAGAAGTTGGAAAGCCTACCATTGCAGAAGCTCAATGTTTTTTGTAAAGTTTTCTCACTTTTGTTTCTAGATGAAACACATTTTTTTTCAGTTGCTACTATGCTGAACATAGTACAATTGTTCAAGATGAAATGCAAGATGAAAGATTTTCAGAAAAGTTAGAACAATGTAGTTCTACAGGCATTTTACAAAAAAAAAAAAAAAAAAAAAAAGAGGCCATTTGTAAATTCCACTGCGATTTCTACTCTTGTTTTTTCCTGAAGTATTTAGTACCATTACCATTCTTAGGATTATTGGCTCTAATAAGAAGGTTAACAATCTCTGTTTTAGTAGGAACTAGTCCTGCCTCTTAACTAAAGCTATATTCTCAAGCTTATTTCCGTAAGTACCACTTAATAGGTTCAGTTGTTTTATTTATTAAGCTTATTGAAAAATTCCTTGCTTGCATTCTTGATAGGCCTTGGTAGACTCGAGGTGCACCGACTTTTCGTTGGGTTGTAACTGGCGGTTCGTGCCAGCCGCCCTGGATGGTTTCCCCAGGGGGGCTCTATGTGGTGCCTGTACATAACTAAGATCTAATAAAAGGACAGGCTCAAAATGTCCAGACAACAATAGCAACAAATGATTTCTATTTCTACAAGTTAGGCCTGTAATCCTTCATTTTAGCTAAATAATTTGGTGTTCATTGCTCCTAAACACATTTCTAAATACATTTATAGAAAAATCTAGACATTTGAAAAACCCAATACAAATACGGGGAGATTTTGCTTCCCTTTCCTATAAAACTGCATCAGGTTAAAATCTACCATGAAGTAATGCATATATATATATACCCAGCCTACCCTGCATAGCAGGTCTAGTGTTCTCAGGCCACAATTCCAAATGGAAGTTGGTACTGTCTCCCCTCATCCTTGGGATTTTCCTGACTTGGAGGAAGCAACTAAATTTAGTTTTGACTTTGTGAATGTGAGGTTTAATATAGCTCAATAGGCCCCTTTTAGGTCTAAATATATATATATATATACACACACACACACATACATACATACATATATATATATAAAATTTTTTTAGTTTGGAAAGACAATGAAACAATGAAATTTTAACAAAAGACATATTTAAACACCACTCTTGGCTTCAAGAATGCCACATTCTCCTAACCTAAAACTAATAAAACCAATAGGATTTAGATTGAAGTGGGTTTTTATTATTACTAATGAAGAAAAACAGAGCAAAGCAGATTTTTTATTCAAATTAATTTCTTCTCTTTTGTACCTAACTGTTAGATTCTTGCAGCTCAATTGCCAAGCACATAGTTTTTGTTTTAGTTTGATGTCTTTATATTTCTATACTGTATAGTGTTATTAATGGCATTAGATATTCATAGCTAACTACTGCCTTTAAAAACAGATCTTCCCTCATTCACTTGACCGTAATTTATTTAACTCCTTGTTGACTGGCAATTTAAATATTTGAGGCAGTGTAAATTTTGCTTAATTTGAACTTTCTGTTCTATTTTTTAAATGTAAGAACTTCCAAATACTGAAACACCAAATAAATATTGTGGCAAAGTTGCTTGTAACCTCCAACACAGTACAGTCAGATTTGTTAGATGAGTATCATTTTTTTTTAGAACTCAAAGCATGCAGATAATATCTGCACTAACTCAATATCTAACCAAGCACTTGGGGTGCAGCCTATCTTTTTCTAGCCAAGCCCAGGAGGACACTTAAAACTTAACATTCTGTGATCCATGGCAAATTACACTAATGTTAAAAATGGCCTTAGATGCCAATGGTTGGTTTTAAGTATGCACTAATGCCTCCCTGCAATGGTTATGTGATAGTAACCTTGTAGAGCTGTCAGATCTAGTTTCTAAATTATACTCAGAACAGAAGTCCTGTGAATTGACTGGTCTTGCCTCTGCCTCCACCGGAGGTCTTTGCCCATTAAAACAGCGCCTTCATTTCCCTCCCCACAATCTTTTATAGTTAGGCCCCTGAGGCTACAAAAATGAATACGACGTAGTGACTCACGGTCCAGTCAGAGAGACATGCTTGAGGAAAGATAAACTATAGTGCAGAGTAAGTGCTGCAGGAGAGGCAGTTGTACATGGAACTGGGGAGGCTTAGGAATGAGCCCCTTGGGTTGGATGAGGAAGAGCCTCATGAAAATAGTGACATTTCCGTAGGACTTTAAGGAATGCCTAAGGAATTGGGTACGAGTCTTTTAAGCAGAGCAGTAGACTTTCCGGGCAGAAGGAACACCATTACAGTAGTAGAATGATAGCCCTCCCTTCCCCCAAAATACTTATTTTGGGACTTTGCAGATGTGATTCAGTTGAGGATCTTGAGATGGAGAGATTTTTCAGGATTATCCAGTGGGCCCAGTATAATCACGAGTCCTTATAAGGGAAAGAGGGAGGCAGAAGTCAGCAGCAGAGTGATGCTACGCAAGAAAGACTTGACCAGCCATTGCTGGCTTTGAAGGTGGGAGGGGTCCATGAACCAAAGAATGAGGGCAGCCTCTAGAAGCTGGCACATGCAAGGAAATGGATGGTCCTCTAGAGCTTCCGAAAGAATCAGAGCCCTGCCAACTCCGTGATTAACTCATTATGACCCATGTTGAACTTCTAACCCACAGAACTGAAAGAACGAAATCTGTGTGTTGTCACTAAGGTTGTGACTTCCGTGCCACAGAAAGGAGCCATACAAAGCTAATACAGCCATATACAGAGAAGGATCTGCTGTGATGGAATAATGGGCAGGGGCAGGAGAAGGGCAATGAAGTGGTCCTTTCATTGGGAGAAGCTCATGCCATGCAAAGGAGTTTGCATTTTATCTTATCATAGGAAAAAAATGGGAAACCAGCAAAGGACTTGTCAACAGGAAGGCGCAGTGACCAGACTGCTGCCAGCTTCATCTCACTGAAAAAGCAATGTGTAGCTAAATCTCAAGTTTCACAGGGCAGTTTGACAAAGGGTGTCTAACTGGAGGTGGTCAATGATGGGTAGAGATCTGGAACCACCATCTTACATGGTTTGGTTTTCTGAAATGACATTTGTAGGCATGTGTGAAATTAATAGCTTAAGAAAACTTTTGTTCACAATTCCTAATAGAAGAGCGACACAGAAAGTAAGACGGAAAGGCCAAGTTGAATGTGACTGTTTCTGTTCTGCCCGTTGTCTTCTTAGCAGACAGCTGCTCTGTGGCCACATACCATGCAGTCATGAGCCAGAAGCTGTGAAAGCTCAAATTTAACACAGTTATCTTGAGCATGTTGTTATGTCATCTGGACCGATTCTGACCAGTTGGTAGAAGCTGCTTGCAGTGCTTTGGGCTTATATAGGCTCAGCTGAGCAACTGCCAGGACCAGTGCGCTATGTTTGCCACGGGTTCCGTACTTGCTGGGGGATGGGTGGCAGCTGTCATGTTAGATGACCTAACTTCTGCACTGAAATATAGGGAATTTAGCCACTCCTTTCAAACATAGTTATTCAGTCTCTTTTATGTTCAAGGGCTTACTCTCTGTCCTCTAAAAACTTATAATCCAGTTGAGTTGACATCTCTGTGTCTGGAAAACCTAAACTGAAGAAATCTTAGTGTTACAAGAGAGGCTCTGAACTGAAACTGAACTATATGTAGAAAAAGTGAGTAAGAGAGAAACAGATTTTCAGAGAGCATGGTAAAGAAAGCCCTGGCAAAATCTGACACTGGAAAGAACAGCAAGACTTGATTAAGATTTATATTAATGAACAAAACCGTATATCTGTATTGTGTAGCTTCCGTTTGCATAACTTTGTAAGAGTTTTACCCAAACTTCCCTGTATAATGATGCAATAATTATTGTTTTTCACTGCAAAAGAAAAGCTCAGTGTAATCTGTTCCTCTTTTTTGAATCTCTTCTGCCTTGGTCTCTGGGATACATACCCGAGATGTTTTTTCCTTTTTATACTTTTTTTTAATTGCTCTTTCTCCGAGTGAGTGTCCAGTTTCCCTGGGTTCTGACCTTCATCTTCTCGCCTGTGGCCCACTGTGTTCTTTCCAGGGACTGGACCTTGGCTCAGAACTGTGTCAG